CACATTCTCAAATAAGATGTCAGTGGCTTGAGCCATGTAACTTCCACTAGACTTTTTGGAAGCTGCATAGGAAAAGTCCGGTACACCAAGTTGAGAAAGTACAGCTCAAGGACCTGATCCTGCACCAAATGAAATTTATGGACTTGGTTCTCTTCTCATTTACACCAACTTCAATGGAGTTTCTGACTTACACCACTGTAAGGCTCTAACCCAGCAAAGCAAATAAGACTGCTTTAAGCACATGATTAGTCTCATGGTATTAGGCATGTTTGGTCAAGTATTTAAAGTTAAGCAAGTGCTTAAATGCTTCACTAGACTGGGGCCTAAGTGAAAGATAACTCTAATCCAATGGGTGCCAATGTTGCAATTGCTGAAAATCTTTATTTTGGTTAATGGTAGACTGAGCTATAATACCAGAAAATAGCAGCAAATTTGATCTGTCAACAATAAAGTTATGCCCATGGCAAATATTTCGCAAAGCAGGCATCATCCATCCAACTGAATGCAACCATTTTTTCCCTTTTGGCTACATCTACATTGCACTCTCTTGTACAAGAACATATGCAAATGAGACACAGCGATGAATATCGCTGTGGGCATACTTAATGAGCCGCCACTGTAGCGCAAGGGGCTTTTGCACAAGGACGAGCAGTCTACACTGCTCCTTCTTGTGCAAAAATCCCCCTCTTGCGCAAGAGCCATTCTTCCGCTTATTTTCAGGCAGAATGGCTCTTGTGCAGAGGGGGTTTTTGTGCAAGAAGGAGCTGTCTGGCTCCTTGTGCAAAATGGCAGCTCATTAAGTATGCAAATGAGGCACAGTGATATTCATTGCCGTGTGTCATTTGCATATATTCTTGCCCAAGAGAGTAGACGTAGCCTTTCAGTTCAGTCCCTGATTCAGCATGATATGAAAGCACATGCTGAAGTTTTAAGCACAGGAGTAGTTCTATTGGCCATATCTGGACTATTCACATGGTTAAATACATTGCTGAATTGGAACTCTAATTCATTATTTGTGTTCCTTATTCAAGAAACACCTATGCTAAAAAAAGGGAGAGGGTCAAGGGGGGCAGAATACATAACGAAAGTTAATTCCTTTTATGCTTTTTGTGTACTGAAGTTCCCCTGTATTAATTTTTGTCTTTACAAAACCTCTATATGCAAGTACCACTAACAAAACAAAAAGGGGGCAGTAGTGGTTGTCATTTAAAATCAGGTTGTCACGAGCATTTATTTTGAAAAGAAGTATTCCTCATAATGTACTTACAAAAAGAAAACAAGAGCATTTCCCTATAAATATAGGAGGCACCAGTCCTGCTAGAACTGGGATTAGCAAATGCAGCATTCTCCTCACCATGACTCTTTCCAGTACAGGGATTTGCTCATTCAATTCTTGGAACTGGAATGAGAGCAAATGAAATTGGGCCAGTTTATTCCAATCTAAGCCAGGCTAATAATGGGTCCTTTTACATTGATTTGTTTGTCCCTACATGTATTCTAATTTATTTGATTATACCTCACTGAAACTGAAATCTGCCAGAGTTGCAGTACAGTGCGTAAGAAAGTAAAGATACTATACAATTTATATAGCATCCTTCATAGAAAGGATAATAAAATGCATTTATTGTAAGAGTCAAACAAGATACACTGAAAACACGGACTTCAAGGCAAGCTGTAACAGGAAATGGCTTAGTGACTTGTAGTAAACATCCCACATCGATGAGCCAAAAACATATAAAATAGCAGACCTGTGAGGGATCCTAAGGAGGAAGACTAAAAGGACGCAAAATGGAGATGGAAGGGGATATAAAGAGAGGGAACAGTGGAGTGAATCCTTGGACGGACCTTGAGGAATTAAAAGGGAGATTAAAAAATGGCAAGAGGACAGTGTATTGACAGGATCCTGAAGTGAGGATTCTAGCTGCAATATTTTGGACCTCCCAGAACTTTTGAGAGGAGTAGTATGCAAGAAGGAAGCATGCTAATCAGGATGATAGAATGATAATTGGTAAAGGCAGCTTTTTTTGACTAGGAACAAGATAAAAACTGATTATGAAAATGTTCTCGAGGTAGCTTTAGGCAGGTGCACAGAAAAGGTAAACAAGGATAGAGCACAAAAATTTGGTTCAGGGAGAATTCCAAGATTTAGGGCTTTACAAGCCAAGTTAAAGGGTAAGTTAGCAGAAGGCTAATGGAGTCACACGTGGAGCAGGGTCACTGTTTCACCACAAAGGTCTTTTGATTTTCAGGAATTCAGTGCAAACGAATGATGTCACAGTCAAAGGCTGACAGAGTCAGGGAGGCCAGAGAGATGGGAGACAGAAGGCTGAAAGAGTGAGTCAAGGGAGATGGAATCTGCACTTAATATTGTACTGAAATGTATGGTAATTGAGTATTAATGGATTTTGCAAGATACAATACAATATTTGAGAAGCTTTATGTACTGTATTCATGTCCTATTGCACATTTCTCAAATGCCATAAATATTGCTGTATGTTTCAGTACAATGTACCTTATTACGAGTCACATACTTGTATGTTAAACACATGTAACACAATGGAGACTGACAGAAATGTGCTTTCAAGTGAGGTCTGAGTCAAAGGGCAGGGAAATGCTATTTCCTAGAATTAGGCCTGACCTAGCTCCATAGGAGCAGCAGCCTAACCATCCAAAATAGCAGCAATCGCCGGTTCCTACCCTCCTACCCACCATGTGCAGAACAGGAAACAGCTCTAGCAACAGTTAGCAACCCTTACTTTATAGAGCAGGAATTCTCAAATGTCACTGCACTGCAGTCCCCTTCTGACAACAAAAATTACTACATGACCCCAGGAGCAGAGACTGAGTTGGCCCAAGCCTTGCTGCCAGGGGGCTGGGACAGAGGAGGGGTTGGGCGGAAGGCAAAGACAAAACCCAAGAGCTTCAGCTCCAGGCAGGGGGATTCAGGTTGAAGCCACTACACTTTGGCCCTGGGCAGTGGGGCTTAAGACTTTTGCCCTAGGCCCCAGTAAGTCTAAGTCAGCCCTGGTGACCCCATTTCAACAGGGTCAAGACCCATTTGGGTCTCCCGACCCACAGTTTGAAAACCACTGTTTTAGAGCATTTCACCTAGGTTCACTACATAAATACAAAATGCGACAGTGACTTTGACATCACATAGGCCTGGGCTGGTCTCTTCGGGATCCTTTGTATGTGGATGGGAATCTTTGTATGTGAATGTCTTCACTTGTGCAGAAAGAAAGATGGCAGCCTTTTCCCACACAGTGCCATTCACTGGGGTTATGAAGAAGGGCAGGGGACAGGCTATGCTCTGTGACTATTTTCTGCCACACTAGACATTCACTCAGGAATTAATACTGAGGAACACAGCTCTGAGTTAGACATTGCTACTGTGTAGCCATAAGGAGAGACAAGCAATGGAGCCACGGCTTAAGCAAAGCCTGTGGGTAGCGGCCCAGCTTATAGCTTTGGCTTTTAGCGGTTCTGGGGTTCCTTAGACCTAACTCCCCATGGATTTTCTGTGGATTCTGCACTCAGCTTGGGTCCCATAAATCAACAATTACTATGAAATTACAGAGCTAACAATCTGATCCAGAGTTACTCATTCCAAGAGGACCTATAATGTTATTTTTCAGGATAAATCAACTCACAGTAATTACAAAGCAGATTATTTTTTAATAACACTTAATTTTACTTAAGAGAGAAGGCTAAACTAAAACCCAAATATTTAAACAACCCCAAATGCTAAGAGAGTTTGGATCCATGTCAGAAGTTTGCAACTCAGTCTCATCTCCATTTTTCAATACTAAATAAAATGGGGAATCGTTTAATATAAAAATGTATAGCCATCTCTAACTCTGCCATTAATATTACAGAAAAAAAGACTATATATAAAACACTTCCATGTACTGCAAACACAAAGTGTATCCCTATCTACTTTGAAATGCCACCTTAATAGTCATGAATATGTTGAGGAAGTGATCTCGTATTAGATTGTTACTAAGGCCCCTCTCCTTTTGAACCCATAATTTTCTATTGCATAAATATGTGACCTAACCTTACTTCCCACTGCTTCCCTTGGCTCCCCGGTTAGCAGGTCTCTTGCATATCAAGGTTTCATAATAAATCAGCAGCAAAATGCACAGGCTCTCAGTTGCACAAGGAAAAAAAGTGATTTTTTGTTATATTTTTCCTCTTGAGAATGCGAGTATGGTGGGGTACAAATAAGGCCTTCTGAAAATACTTTTAGCATTCAATACTTATCCACTGTCTTAATAAAGTCCAGTTGTGTATGATCTGGCCTCGATTTGGTGAGATCACAAATATTTCCATTTTCTCTTTTATTATGTACCGCATGAAAAAAAATTGTTGTGTTGAAAATTATTTTCATTTTAAAATTTCAAACAATATTGGCAATGCAAAGTTAAACACTTAGAAAACACTGAAGCTGTGAGATGAGAGCACTTCTGACAGGATCAGCATAAAAATGTTCAAGAAACTTCTCAAAGAAAAGTAAATAGCAATAAACGTATGAAATGTATTAGTTCTAATTTTATAACTATTTTAGAATTTATCCCAGGTTATTATAAAATATATAAAACTGAGATACAAAGTATCAGCAATATAACTTTGCACTTTAAATGATCTTCAGCTATAGATTTTGCTTTAAGAAAACGGACACTTGAAAAGTAAGCTGTTCTTTAGTCGAGTCCCTGTCAAACTTACCTTGAGTGATTTTCTGAATTCCTCCAACATTTCAGCTCTCTCAAAATTTCATCATTACTTTTTTTTTTTGCTCATGTTTCTAAAGAGAGGACATTACATACAATTTCCCAGCTTCAGTTTTAAAGTTTTTTTTTTGTGTGAGCTTTAAATCACAGGGCAAATCCATGAAATGAGGTAAGTCAATTTGGCACATTTTTAGTTATGTCCATAAAACTTTTGGTAGATTGTATAAGTGAACAACATCATTTTCATTGTGAGTTACACGTGCTTTCAACGGGGTGGTTAATACATAATCACTGGAATGTTTATAGTAAATCAAAAGGCATAGTTCCAGAAAACACTCACAACCCAAAGTTGATAGAGAAGTAAAAATATGTACAGTACAGTCACTTGTTCATAGTTTGGCACAATTTTTGTTGTTGTGTGGGTAATAGTGCATAAACTACTGTACAACAGTATGACTTTTAAAAGTCTTTCACAGAGAATACCAGATTAGGTTTGCTTTCAAAGAATAAATTCCCACAATTTCAAACTCTTCATTTCAGCACTTACATTTCAACATACCACAAGGCATATTTTGAAAGAAACAAACAAAAACAAAAACAAACAAACATCAAATGTCTTTTTAGAAAAAGGAGTCTCTTCTTCAAACACAGGTAAAACCAAAAATGTTGTTTCTGCTTTAAGAAGAATGTAGTCTGATTCCCTGCAGAAAAATCAAACATTTTATGCCATCTTAGTTAGCTTGTGTGGAATCACCACAATAGGATCATATTCTCTAAACTCTGATACAGTAGATGAAGCTTTATGATACAGGTTATGATATAAACAGCAGAGGGGGCTAGAAAGCACTCAAAATTGCCATATGAAGCTCAATTATGAATGAGTTTTCATTTTGAAACTATAGAGCCTTTAGTTAGATATCTTGGCTTTTGGATGCATAACCTCTTTTTTGTGTTTTGTTTTATACAAAATGTTCAAAAAAAAGTCTTTCCTTTTCAAAATCATTAAAAAGAGCATATAAGTAATTGGGGTTTTTTTTCAATAAATAAGTAATTAAAAACTGAAGAAGCCAAACAGCAGAAAAGAGTAGCCTTGTTAGTTTTTTAACCCCAGCCAAGCCAGAAAATTGGTCATTCTTTTAGGTAGCTTGCAAGTAATAAGTATTTTCATGCACTTAAAAAAAATTGTAAAAGGGGAATGTCTCTTTCATGCAACTCTTGCTTTCAGGAAGGAAAAAATGAGGAATAGCGGGCTTAGCAGGTAGTAGGAAAGTTAAGGGTGCATTCCAGCCAGTTTGGTGCAGCATTACCTCAGTTTTTCAAAAGAAGCTGTCACAGATGGGTCCTTATGGGGCTGTTCACGGTCTGTTCGCTTTACTTTACAGTTCTCATCCCTCAGTGATTTAGAACTTGATTTATGACGATACAGCTTTTTATGGGTAGGTCCATTATTGCCTAAAGTGCTCAGGTTACTATAGCTTTTATCAAAAAAGGGAGAGTGAATGTCTATGTTGTACCCAGTTGAACAGTTGGGACGACTGGGATCACAAGTTGTGGCTTTGCCATTATTTTTGCTTGAGCCCTTGTTGCTTGACTTGTGATTCTTTGCAGTTCCCGGGGAATTGCCATTTCCCTTTTTCTTGGACTCTTGCGATGTCCCTGCCAAAATTTTGAGAGTTTTCAATTTCAGGCTGTTCGATTCAGGTGACCGGAATATATCTGGGACACTGCTATGGCCTACAGGCCCCCACAAGGGTTCAATTGAGGCCATCATAAATCTCTGAACATCTGCCATTCCAGATGCAATGTTGGATAAAATATTGGAAGGTTCCTCAAATTCTCTTTGATCATCATCAAGGAGGTTGTTAGTGTTTGCTATGTTAGTTTCAGACCAGCCTGTATTATTGTCTTTTCTTAGTGACCATTCACCAGAAAGTCCATTATGCTTCCCTATCTTTACAGAGGTTGGACTGCGGTGCTGAATGCATTCAGCTAGTGCCTTTGTAGTTGAGGTTGTATTATTTAACTGATTGACTGTCCTGCTACCAACTGCTTGAGCCTTTTCACCATTGACTCCAGCTGCATTTTTCCCTTTTCTTGTTGACTTGGGAGTTTGCCTAGAATTCTTACTTTGTGGTTTATCAGTTCCTTTATTAGTTTTAGGAGATTTTTTCCTAGTGTTTTTCTGGGGAGAACTTTGGTTTGTACCTACATTCTTGCTGGATGAACTTTTCCTCTTTGATTTTGACACTTTGCTATTGGTGCTAATTTGACCAGATGGCTCATTAAATGTTGATAAGCATGGACTTTTTTCAAGGAGACTAACAGAATCCTCATCATTAAACATATGGAACTGAAACTGATGATTATTTAAAGTAAACCCATTATCTGCCTGATCCTGGGTCTGAAGAACCCCACAGTTCCACTTGACCTTTTCAGTATTGCTTAGCATGGTCTGAGTGGTCTCCTGAAAACCTTTCAGATTGCCTAGCGATTTGGTGTCTGACACAGTTATCTGAGGGGAAAGATTGGGGGTGTCTGGAGGAGACATTTCCGAAAGTGATGACTGACGGAACTTATCAGGTGTGAAGTTGGAGATGTCTAAAAGATCCGTAGACTCTTTCAAAGGGGTTATTTCATCTATGCTTTGTTGGATCACTAGCTTGGGACTGCAGTGGGCCAAGAAATCATCATTAATATCATCTTCGCCATCCTTTTCACAAGACTTTAGACTTAAAGAACTGTAATTGCTTGAACTAACTGACAATGAGCCCACTGAATCAAAACTAATGAGTCTGCCGTCATCTGTGCTTAGTGTACCTCGTTGGAAATGAAAGCGCCCCTCTCCATTATTAAAATGACATGACTGATAAGAATCGTCAGACTGTACTTGTTGGTTATCTGGCGTATATTTTTTTTGGTATAGCAATTTGCTGCTATTCAGATTTACTTGACTATATCCAGAGGCTGGAAGATTGTCTGCTCCTGCTGAGCCACCAAACTCGTTTGATAATGCAGAAACCTCCCTCAAGTCACTTGCAAATTCCTGATGGTTGCTGCTGGCAGCCTTGTTGGCTGGCCACATGGTACTGAAGTTGGTCTGATCAATTTCTATGTGGCCTGGTGACTGCTGCAGTTCAGATTCTGAAGGCGGGGACAGCACACAACTCTGGGCTGTCTGCAGAGCAGAGAACGGCTTTTCTGCCTGAACAATGCTGGGGAGGGAATGCTGCTGTTCCGAGGGATGCTGGGTGAAGTAGGAGATACCAGTGTTACTTGACAAATCAGAAGCATCTAACAATGTCTGCAGATACCCGCCAGGGATCAGGGGTACATTGGTGGTGATATTAGAAGATGGTAAAGCTTTGTCTGGAGAGCAGGCGGCTGGCAGGAAATTAGCATTTTTAACAACCTTATCCTCATGGCACTCAGAAATCTGGGAGCTTTCTGAAGCACAAGGAATATTTTCATCCTTCAAATTAGCTGCTGTGTCCTGATTTTCCAAAGCAGGAGAGATTTCTCCCACACTGGTGGCAGCTTTGATTTTCTTACATTTCAACCTGGCTTCACTTTTGAATTTGATTCGGCGTAGCACTTTCCTCTCTGTTCCCTTATAGTCCCTTTCCTCTGATTTGTACTTCACTGAGGCAATGCCTGTGATGTCATTTAAATGTAATCCATTTGCACAGCTGGGGGTAGCTATGGCTAATGCCTGCATCCCTTTCAGGCCTGCATCCTCTTTACTGCTGCAAGGCTGCTTCTGATCAGAGGAGTAGGACCCCAGTTTGTTCACCGATTGCTCAATGGCTTTAATTCTTTGAATCCTGTGCCTATTTGCTATTTTGCATTTTCGCTTTCTCGGGTGAGGGAGGAATGAGGCATCGGAGCCATTAAGATAGAAATTCTGTTTGTGATAGAGAGATGATCTAAGATAATCCATCCGGCTCTGATGCTTCTCTTGCCAGAAGCCCTTCAGTGGGGCCAGTTTTTCATACTTGCAAAGCAGTTCCTCACTGAGTGTAACAGTTGTCTCATTGGCATTGACTTTACTGAGCTTCACCAGCATATGCTTCTCCCCTTTAAATCGGTTAATGATGATGTACTTGATGATAACTGGGGGCTCCTTGCGAGATACTTTTCGCCTTTTCTTGGGGCACCAGTCATCATCATCTTCCTCTTTGGGTCCATCCGGGAGCCACTCTTTCTTATCCAGAATCTTCTCGCTCTCGATGGAATCCACATCGTACAAGTAATCATCACTGTATCGCACTTTCCTCTTTGCCCGCAGCCCATAGTTCTGCTGAATGAAGGAATTGGAATGTTCCCTGGATAGATACTTACTACAGTCCTTAATATCCCGCAGCACATCGTCCGAGGACTCTGTGCAGGTGCTGTCATCGCTGAACTCCCCGGAGTCCTCTGTGGAATTCACAGAATCCAAGAAGTGGCTCCTTTTAGGGCCTATATACTGCACCACCTCTGTACTGTTGCAAGTTTTGTTTAAGGCAACTTTCTCCTCCTCTCCTTCCTCCTCCTCTCCATCCTCCTCTTCTTCCCCCCAAATGATGCCCTCTTCAGATTTGAATTGGGAAGGATCAGCAGCACCACCAGCTCCTCTCTTCAGGGTACTCTTGCTGTCCCTTTTAGTGCAGTTGCCAAACACACTGGGAAAGAAGTTGAACTGGGCATCCTCTTGCAGAGCACTGGTCTTCTCTCTCACGTTGTCTTGAAAAGATTCATATCTAATCTTTAAGGAGCAGACGTCACTTCCCAAGGTTGAATCATCATCATCAAACATATAATTATCCACATCTTCCTCAGAAAACAGGTTTACAGAAAGCTCGTTCTTGGAGCAAAGGTCAAGCAGCTCAATTTTACTTTCACTAATGAAAGATTCAAAATAGCCCCATTCCTGGTTGGGATTTGTTAGTAAAGGTTCCTCACCATTGCATTTGTCTAATAGTAATCCCTCATAATAATTTTTCTGAGTGGGGTCCTCTGAATCACTGTCAGATTTCTCTGCATCTCTTTTGTCTGCTGCCCTCGATTTATGCATAGGGAAGCTTAAAAGCTGGTCTGAAAGCAGTTGATCCCCATATCTCATGGTTTCTCCTGTGCTCATGCAGTGAATCCCTATATCAGAGACTGAACAGGTATCATAATCCCTATTTATATCACCCACTTTCAAGCTTATTCCCGGCTCTGCATCAATGCCGTCCTTTGATTCAATAAAGCAGCCTAGACAGGTCCGGCTTGGCTGCATCAAGCAGTCACCAGTCAGAGCTGACATGCCTCCGGGCTCCATAATTGTGAATGGAGCCTTCTCACAATCGCCTGGCAGAGACCAGGAGCTCATGCCCTTTGTAACACAAGATGTAAGAGAAATAGCGTGTGCAGACGAGTCATCTGAAGTGTGCTCAGGTACATCAGTGAGTCTCAGAGGAGAAGGAGGGCTCAGCAAACAGGGCTTTTTTGATGTCAGAGGCGGCAGCACTCGGTGGCACACTTGATTTTCCTTCTGAGCTATTGTCAAGGCTGAAAGTGTAACTGCAGCATCTGCAGCAGTGCAAGGCTTCTCATCACTGTCTGGGTCATGTGACTCTGAAGGAATTGAAAGAAAAAGAGAGGGAGGAAGGGAGGGAAAAGGAGAAAGAGTTAATTTAAGAACCTTGGGATTCTGATTTGATTCTTTCCCCCTCCTCTTGTTATGTTTTGGGAGATGATTTTTGCAAACAAATTATCTGAAAAATATCAGGGTCTTTCCTACAAGACTGCAATGTTTAATTTGTGTCACTAATTAATTTTGTGAAGTACAAAAAAAAATGCAAACATGCTACCCCCTGTAGCCTTCTGGCACATGAACGGGGTTATATTTAAAATACCACTGATACTTGTTTATTTTTAAAAATATACATGCTGCTAAGTGGATACTACTATGTCAAATCTGGGTAAAAATAATTAAAGTCTAATAGAAATGTTCCTATTAACGTTTTTTAAATGTAATTGCAATGGAAATAAATACTTAAATAAATATTCTCTTGAACATGTGGGTTGCAAATACACATGCAAATTGTTAGTGCTCAAGAGTTAGAAAGTTACACTGATTTAAAAATGGAGAGAATTAATTTTTGTGTGTCCTTTAACATGTACTGATACCTGAGTAAGAAGAAAAATTATACGCACATACACATGTACATAAATGATCTTTTCTATTAATGTGGAGGCAGATTCTTATACCCTTACTTATGTTGAATCATCACTTACGTCTTAGGCAGGTCTACTGAAATCAAATGAACTACTCAAAGCAGAAGGCTCTATTCAATACTAATGCATGTGGCAGAATCTGACCCATACTGAAGTAGCAAATACAAATAGATGTAACCAACAATGTGTCTATAAAAAAATATATGAGCCTAATGGAAACAGTTTGAAGTGCCAGGAAAAGGAAGAACACTGTGAAAAGGACTTGTACATACAGAAAGATTTGGTATCCATGCCATCTACTATAATCACCTTTATCAAGAGTATTTATTTTACACTGAAACAGATGAGAAACAATTTAATGTATTTATGCCAATATACACTAGCTTAAGGAAGCTCCTCACTACTGGCAATCTTCAGGGTTGAGCCACTTTTAGCTTTAAAGCCTTAAGCAAGTAAGTGCAACCTACAGCTGAAGTGATTCGGCATGTGCCCAGCATTCCAAATAACGCTACCATCGGAGCACTGTGAAAATGGCAATGGAATGTTTTACACACACAGGCACATTACTCTCTACCTTTAAACATATATAGCTTTAAACTTACTGAACTGTTTTCCTTGAAATATGGGTTGTTTTTCCTTTTTCGGGAGGACTAAAAACACCTTTGTGTTCCTCAGCTGAACCCATTTTTTAGTTTGAGAGTTGAAAAAATTTCAATCGAAGTATATGGGAAATAGTTTTTTGGACAGCTCCCTTAACTTCAAAACAAAAGAAAAAATTCAGGTCCAATTAAAGAAAAAGAAAAGAAAAATATCCACTTTGAGCTGACAGGAAGACGGGGAATTGAAGCCCAAAGGAATAAGTCTCTGCAAGCAGTGTTCCCTCTAAGCTGCGCAGCAGCACAGCTTTACTGGTGATTCATGAGCCCTGCCCAATCAGTCAGCTCTGTGCATGGAGCCCTGAGCCTCTGATGTGGCGGAGCTGATGAATCACTGGTGAAACTGTGCTGCCCTGCAGCTTAGAGGGAACGCTGTCTGCAAGTTTCAAGGACATGAACAAGAGGAGCTAAAATGACAATGGTAACTCGATGCTAAAGCATTCACTGGCAACTGAATAATCTCGGTTTTCTAGAGCTACACCTACAAAAATGAATTTTAGTTCTTTGAGATGCAAATCCTGAAAAATGGATTTTCTAGGGACTGTGTAGTGCTAAAGTTCAGATAATATTCAATCAAAAGGTGTATTTTCCCAATGGACTGTACTGGCTTCAATGAACAGTGGCTAAGAGCAAAGAAGAGCATTTCAGACTCAGCTATGGATTTTTGGCATAGTTTTTGGTCACAGTTTAAACATTATTTCAGTATTTTATGGTACCTGCCTACCTTTAGTTTCTGACTTTCTAACCTTGTATTGATCCATGAGAGGACCCTGCCTTTTATCCCAAGAATGCTTAAGAGTGTTTGGTGAGGGATATGGTCAAAGGCTTTTTGAAAGTCACAGTATATTATCTCTACTGCAATCACCTTTGTCCATATGTCTGTTGACCCCCCTCAAAGAATTCTGATATATTGGTGAGGCAGGATTTCCTTTAACAAAAGCTGTGTTGACTCTTTCACAACATATCATGTTCATCTATGTGTCTGGTAATTCTGTTCTTTATTACAATTTCAACCAATTTGCATGGTACTGAAGTTAGGCTTATGAGTCTGTTATTGCCAGAATCACCACTGGAGCCTTTTAAAATAATGGCTGTCACATTAGCTATCCTCCAGTCACCTGGCACAGAAGCTGATTTAAGTGATGATAAATTACATCCCACCAGTGCTGCAATTTCATATCTTCCTTCAGAAGAGGAATGATGGCATACGAATTGACATGCTGACTAAGTCACTATCCCCAAGACTATAGTGATCCTCACATGACCAAAGATACTGACATCAGGACATAACCTGCTATTGCTTCAGCATCAGGACATAACCTGCTTTTGGTTCAGCATCAAGTGACTGCATAGCATGGAAAGATCTGGGCCAAAACCTTTAGAAAATTCATTACTATACTTCAGTATTTAATTGAGACATTTTTCTGTTTCTGTTTATTTAACAGAAGTAGTATCCGATTCTACAAATCAAATCATTTTCTATTGACAAGGTAACCATTGATTCTGCTTGGTAGCAGTAGATTAGGCACAGGCATAATGGCCAGGAAATCTCTTTGTAGCTCTAGCAACTGTCACCCACTATTACTTTACAGACTGTTTGCATGTATCTGATAAAGAAAAGATTGGCCGAAACTGACAGCTAGATTCTGAATTTTGTCATGCTGTAAGTCACATATGTGTGTTTCATATCTTACTAACCTATTAGGTAATACCACTGCTGTTCATCTATACATCTGGATTTACAGTTGTGTGGAAGAGAATAGACTTTGCACCTACAGACTTACAACACAATTACCAAATTCGTTTTGATAGGATACAAAGCTCTGAGCCTAAAACAAATCACAGGATTGGGCTCTCAAAAATCCAATAAGGTCAAATATCAACAATCAAAAGGATTAAAAGGCCAATACAAGGTTTAAAAAGAAACATGCCATGTATGTTTAAATAAAGTTTAGGTATGCTGCAAAGAATGAAAATGCTAGTTTTTTATCTCAATGCTAGAAACTTGAAGAATAAATGACTTCAGAAAATGCTCAGAGGCATTTTTATTTTAATCAGGTTTGCAGGAAAGCATCTCACTGAAGAATACTTTTAATTAGTTATTGCTTTTGTAAACAACTATGACAAAGTAGAAAATGACAAAAGACAAAGCTAGATGCAGGAAATTTGGGCATGTTCTTGAAAGATGCCAATCAATCACGTTCCACTGATTTCAATGGGAGTTGAAATTACTCAGCAGTTCTCAGGATCATGACTTTACCAGTAGAATGTGTTGTTGCACAGAAAACATGCCTAGAATTCTAATATGATCTTGGGACAAAGTTGGAGGGGGCATGCTGCCAAAATGGTCACAAAAGCATGTGCAGTTACCAGTAAAAAAAAAAATTAAAAACCCAACACAACACCCCACCAAAATCACCAATTCAGATCTGTGTGTGGGCACTCACATATGTGTGGAGGGAAAAAAGCAGCAGTTGTTGCTTAAGGTTTAAAAACTGAAGATTCATAGCTGCAGCAACATATTTGCACAAAATATCCATCTGCCCCAGTGCTCTACATTTTGAAGATGTCTGTAAAACTCAGAAATTAAATATATGAACTAGGAAAATAGGTTGGCTTGCTGTTATCACTGCTGCTTCATGTGTTGTAATTAGGTTTCCTTACCATTTTCTTTCACCCCATTAATCAGGATAGTTTCATGGTCTTCTGAGGCACAATCCTTATCTTGTTGGTCATCCATCAATTTAACCTCTTATTGTTCATTCCATGCTCTGCTGCATTTGGCCAACCTGTACATTTTCAAATACATAATTACAGTCATTAAAATTCCTGAAATAAGCTCACAGAACTGTGAATAAAAGAAAAAAATACACACACCAACTAACCCCATTTAAGAGAAACTATTTATTACAGCAAAGTTGCTATCATATTTTCACTCTTCTACTCCAAAATCTCCCCAGTTCAGTGTATTTCAATTGAGTTAAAAAGATATGCCCCATTTTCTTCCCAAAAGAATAACAAGCATCAGTAACACAATTGCTTTGCATTTTCCGAGGAAATTTTCACTACCCCTAAGAATTTAATTCTGTGTAAATCCAAATTTCAGTGATTCCCAAGTCTGTTAAAAAGATTTCCAGCTTCCAGATACCAACATTGTCCACTGCTGTGGTTGCAAAAATGTTTCATTCAGTGGACCACAAAGCCCAGTAAAAGAGCTACAGACGTATTTTGATAAGAAAGACTCCCCATATTTTTGGGAAAATTTCCCATTCATAATATAGGCATCATTTAGAGTATTTGCATATAACTTTAGCTAGATTAACATTTAAGTATGACAGATGCTCTACATTTTCCCGTTACAGTCTGCTTAATAATGTCTCCTGCCTGTTAAACATGCATTCAGGAGATACAGCGTCTAAAGTAGAGTAGTAAGTAAGCCAGCTTGACTTCTTTGGAATGGGCTGCTTGCTGTGTGAGGAATCTTTGGTAGGAGGAGTACTGCAAAGTGGTAAGGACATTAAACAAATCCATTCCACCCATCTCTTGTGGTTTTCAGGTGGAAGACAAATGTGCAATGATCATTCATTTCAAATAACCACAAGTGAGTATAGTCAATGATTGTACATTCGGCTATCCATACCTCTCACATTTGAACTGCTTGCTCATTTCAAAGCACCACAAATATTACATGGGGGGAGGCGGGATGAACTCACACTCTGATCATGTCTATGGAATGCTGCACGCTTTAATAAATGCCCCTATTTATTTGAATCTGCCATCATCTCTTCAGTGTCTAGTGGTGATTCACTAACCGAGAAAAGTCAGAACAGGACTGAGAAGCTGAAGCCAGTTCCCTCACAAGTAACTTCCATCCCATCTGAGTAAATTTGACATTCAGGGTAAACACCACATTCTCCAGAAAGAAAAAACACAGATACAGACACAAACCACAAGCAAGCATGGACAGCATGATCCCAATAGGGTTGCCAGGGGTCTTTTTTTGGGGGCTCTGTCCGGTCAAAAAAAAAATCCAGAAAATACCGGACATGTGCACTGTCTGGTATTTTCTGGTTTTCCGACTGGGTGCTCGGAAGCCTGGCGCGGGGAGTGGCCTGATCGGTGCTGGGAGCCCTGCATTTGAGGAGAAGGGGCAGCTCGGTCCATGCGCCTGCGCGCTGGTCAAGCGTGTGGTGAAGCCACAGCCGGACTAACCTGCGCTTTGCCTGGACCATGCGGGGGCAGGAGCGCCCTAGGAACTGCACTGCCCAGGTCAGTCTCGCTCCCCACCAGCTGATACGCTCCTCCTCCCCACACTCCCTCCTGGCTGGCCGATCGGTTCTCCCCCACTTCTCCTCCCGATCTTCCCCGGCCAGCCCTGCATGGAAAAATATAACCTGTAAAATAAATATTCTACTGCGGGTTATGAACTGCCTGGCAAATGGAAGCTGATCAATAGCTATCATCTCTATTTATGAATATGTCTTAAGATACACATTCCTCTATACACACAGAGGCCCATATTAGTAGATAGATGAGAGTGGCTCCATAGTTAAGCCTGCAACCAGGCTTTAGTTTAAAGCTGAATATAGTAACCCCTAGCTGAGACTAAGCATAGCAATTCCAATATTCAAATATTGAAGTGTCCATTGTTTGCATTTGGTATGGATGGCAAAAGACACAGAAACCATAACTGAGGGAAATCTTTTTTATGGACAGGAAGAGGAAAAACACACCACCAGGAGATTTGATTTTCTGCAGCAGAATTGTAAATAAGTGCAAGTGTTGGAATGAGGTTTGTAAGGTGCAGTTAGGTCTTACAGAAAAGCCCTAGCGAAATTATGCCCCAAAGCCTCTGTTAGGTTTTATAAGAATTAGGATATTTTTTAATGAAAACATACACTTTAAAAAACACATCAAGTAAATGTCTGTAAGATATTCATGCTGAAAAGTAACAGAGCAACAGAGCTCAAGAGAAGTTTCCCAACAGTATAAACAGATACCACACAATCTATGTTCTTAATAACTAAGTCTTCCCTCTTCTTGGAGTGCTGTATTCTTTAGGCCTTTCACAGAATAAAAACACATTAATTTACAAAGTCCTCTGTAATATAACAGGTTGCTGCGGGCACATTTGAGATAGCTAAATCAGGGTAAATTGCTTAAAGACTGGGCTAATCACAGCCCAAGACTGGGGGTTCTTCACTATAAGACACACCAAACCAGTCACAAAGAGCATTTCTATTTGCCACACTGGCCTGCAAGAAGACACACAACCCTTAGACACTCCAGCTTTTACCTGTGCCACAATCACTACACAGATGAGAGGTTATAAAAACCAATCTCACCAAATCTGAATAGGTTCTTCTGATCCCTAAGGATCAGCCACATTCCCAGGTCAATTTATACCTTAGATCTTACCCAAAAGAGCATGCTGTGTCAATCCTTTAGAATCTAAAATTGAAAGGTTTATTAATAAAAGAAAGAAAGAAAAGGCTGAGAGTAAAATTGTTAAACAAATTACATACACCAATTTTAAAGTTCCTGGTGCAGGCTTGCAGCAGAGATGGAATAATTTGCTGTTCATAAGTGTTTGGAATACATCCTTTGTAAGGCTGGGTCATCAGTGCTTTTAGGCTCAGTTCAAAGCAAAGATGCTCCTGAAGTGATGACCTGGAATGAAGACAAATGGAGTAACCTCTAGGGCCCTTTTTAAAATCTTGCCCATGTGGAGAGAATTCCATTGTTCTTGCTGTGTGAAAGTACCTCTTGTGACGGCGCGTTGGGGGTCCCCCGTCTCCTGCACCCAGAAATGGCACAAACAGACTGCACCAGCCGGTGGAATAGAGGAAGTTTATTGCCTCTCCAGGATACAGCACAGCATAGATGTAATCTGGTCACAGAGCTGGGCTAGGATGCCTCAGGCCCCCTTGAGATGGGGGAGACTGGGCCCCTAAACTCCAGCCCCTTTCCCTAGGCTGTCTCCTCCATGCTCCCAGACAGCAACTAACCCACACTCTTCCAGCCCTGCCCCCCAGCCAGGGCAGCATTCCACCTTCCTTTGTTCCTCTCCATGGGGGGTGTCTGGCCACTGGTTCAACAAGTTTGGCATTACCTTTGCATAGTGAGGTTTTCCCTGCTGGGTCTTGCTCCAGACAGCAAGGGTCACCACAGCCCAGCAAGTACCCCCACTACGTCACACCTCTCAAAATGGAGTTTGTCACATTAGCAAGTCACCTATCCATGCATGACTCAGTCCTCTTTAGGCAAGCAGTCATGGCTTACATGATGGTCTGAATGTTCACAGAAAGTTCCTCAGATGTGCACTGGCATCATCTGAGGTGCATTGTCAGTCAAGTACTGCTATTCCCTTGACTAGCAACCCTTTCACAGTAGGAAGGCGAAGCCTGTTGATAATCTCCCGGAAGCAAATATTTGAAATACAAGTATATAGCCAATACTCCTAACTTCAAATATAAAAATCATATGTGCAGAGGAGCAGTATAAACAGAATCAGTGAATCAAACTTTCTATAGATATCTTCCTTGGCTTACTTTGCACAAGGCTTGGTGCACACATGTAACAGAGGTGGAAACAGCATTTTGCACGATCATATCACACCCTCTCTAGCTGAGCTCTAGGGCAGGTGCTTCTTCCACGGGCAGCAAACTGTAGCAAGTAAAAAAAAGAAACAAAGCAGTCCAAAATATACATTTCTTTCCCAGCTATGAGGGCTGAAATCCTTTTTGCAGGCTTTCTGACCTCCCATTTCCCTTCTTAAGCAAAGTCAGAATATTTTATACCTCCTACTAGGTTAGCAGAAAGGGTAGCAAGGACCACCTGCCAAGAAAATCCAATTTCATACTCATGGGATGACGGTAGGGCTGGGAGAGAAAAGCCCTGCCCCTGCCTCATGGGGAGGTGGGCGGCACCCAGCCTGAGCCTCCTGACCCCGGAGCACGGGAGGGTGGGCGGTGCGCACAATCCCAGCCTCCCACAGTCCCAGAGCACAGGGAGGGAAGAGGGCGTGTGGCCTGGAGTCTCCCCAGCTTTGAAGCACGAGGAGGACAGGATGTGTGCAGTCTGATCCTGCCCGACTCCAGAGCATGGGGAATGTGGATGCTCAGGGGCAGCAACACTCCACCCCCAGAATGTGGAGTATGGGTGAGGCCAGCCAGGTGGCTTGGGAAGGCAATGCCTTCCTCCGACTAGTGCACTGGCCACCCATGTTCTGAATTTGGAGATGTTCCTGTGGAAGATAGAGGATACAGAGTTCTCTTCAGAGAGCATCTCGGGGCAATCAGCTACCAACCCTGAACTCCAAAGGACCCCTTTACTCAAAGAACCAATATACCAAGTCCCAGACAGAGACCAAATGACCTTATTTTTCTTCTTGACCCTTGATATTTATTATAAATTGGTATCTTGTGTGTGTTTTCATTTGTCAATAGAAAGGGTATCTCAGTCTGCCATTTGTTCCATTTCAGGGCCCCTTAAAATACCTCATATAAAATAATTAATTCTAATAGAGATGAAAGAAATAAAAATCTTCGGCATGCTTGATTTTACCAATGGCGTCGGCATTATTTATAGCAGACCTTAGATGTTAGTCCATCCCATGTTTTGCTGCATATTGGCCTACCCACATTTGCCATCTTTGCCTGTCAGCTGGTCTTCTCTTCAAATTTTCCCATTTCATGTTAAGGTGCTCAATATCATTCAGAATTGTTCGTTTCCATGCTATTTGCAGCCATCCTCGCTTTTTGTGTTTTCTGGCTTCCTTTCAAGGGTG